AATCCCTGATTTGTAGTGTTTGCCAATAACCCTGACCACAGCAGATTTCAAGCTACCAATGTAACATGACTAATTGTGAAATTGGGAAGCAATGTGCACAAAACCAATAGGAACTGGCTCCATGACACCATGGCAGCACTTAAAATCTTTTCTGCGGTCTAGAACTTAACATATACCGAACTACATAAGCTCTCCAGATGTATTATATAGGTGTATTTGTTCATTGTAATAAACTGCAGCCCTACCAAGAGAGGGAGTCCACTCACTTTAGAGTTTTCAGAGTGTACAGGGCATATAATGTGTGCTCAATAAAAACCTGTTGGCAACACCTGGAGTGTGTGATAAGCAAAGCCAAAGAGCACTAAAAATGGGCATGTATTCATTTAGGGTTGGTTAGCAAGAACAAACAAAACGAACAATGAAGGCGCAGAATGTACTGGAAATGAAATCGGAATGGGAGCCAGGAGATATTGGTTATGTCCCAGCTTTGCACCTGTATGACTTTTCTGGGGTCAACTCAGTTTCCTTCTGAGGCCTTAACTTTCCTCATCTGTAAAATTAGGGGGCTACACTTCATGACCTCTAAGTTATCTCTTGATTCTAATGCTGCAGAATGTCAGTTAAACTGACAAGGAGGCTCCATGGTCCACTGTATTGGTATAACAATGATAACGATAAAATCATTTTAAAATCTGTTGAAAAGTCAAAGAAGTGTAGGACAACAAAATTTTTCTGAAGGTGTGAAGAAACATTCTTGTAAGGCCATTCCATTCCTTTGACCTAATAATTATTCTGCAGAAATTAATAATTGTTAATTTTAAGTTTTTAATTTTTAAAAAAGCTAAAAATAATTATTCAAAGAATATCAATTGCCTGTCTACTATGAGCTGGACATTGATAAATGCTGAGGATTAGTAAACACAATTTAGTCTTTACCGCCATGGAACCTACAGGAGTATAGTTCAGTAGTCATTTAGTTCCAAATCATTTTATCAGTGCCTTTTAACTTAAAGAGCACAGATTGCTCTAAGGAATGGATGCGAGATACAGATCCTCTCTTCCCCAAACAGGTATATAGTCATAAAAACATGAATATAATTTCAGAGGTTCACAGGACCTCTCATCTGAGAAGGGGTCCAAGAACCACAAGTTAACAACTCTGACCTATATCTACAGCTACACCCACAAAATGACAAATTCAAGCTCATAAAAACCTATATTCTGTTTGCTAAGAAAGTACAGCAAAGATTTCCAACAAAAACATTTAAAAACAAAGGTCCATCGTTTAAAGGATTAAGCTTTGGTTATTTGAAATTTCACTCACCTAGAGTATCTTATTCCAAATAATATTCTGGGTAAGTGAAGCATGCCTAGATTATGTTTCTATATGATCTGCCGTTCCTTTGGTTAAGGCTGCCTGATAAATCAGTCTTCTTACTGAAAATCCATTTGCACATGAATGTGTGCTTCCATTTCCCAAGTAAATTTGCATTTCATGACACTTCCATTTCACGTTAAAGAGACCCAATTAGGGGCGCCTAGGTGGCTCAGTCTGACTCTTGATTTCAGTTCAGGTCATGATCTCCTGGTCATAAGATCAAGCCCCACGTTAGGGCCCCTGTGCTGAATGCAGAGCCAGGTTGGGATTCTCTCTCCCCCTCTCTCTGACCCTGCCCTGCTTGCGCTCTCTCAAAATAAATGAACAAACATTTAAAAAAGAGAGAGAGAGATGGGGCACCTGGGTGGCTCAGTGGGTTGAGTGTATGACTTCGGCTCAGGTCATGATCTTACAGTTCTGAGTTCGAGTCCTGTGTCGGTCTCTGTGCTGACAGCTCAGAGCCTGGATCCTGTGTCTCCCTCTCTCTCTGCCCCACCCCTGCTTGCACTCTGTCTCTCTGTCTCTCAAAAATGAATAAACGTTAAAAAAAAAAAAAAGAGAGGCCAGTTAGTCATGACAAACACATATACAGCACACACATATCCTATATAAGCAGCTTGAATGAAGCAAAGAGCACAAGTTCCTGAATTAGAAGGCACTTACTCATCTCCCAGTTCTAACGTTTTATGGCTAAATGATCTTGGACAACTCATTTAACCATCTGACCTATGTTTATTCACTTGTACACTGGAGAATGAATGATAAGACTTACCTAAGAAGGATACTATAAGAAATCAATCAAGTAAAATAATGTATGTCAGAGTATTTAGCTATAAAATGGGCACAAGTGGGTGAAAAGGCAGATCACTTAGAGTTGCTCACAAAACATCAGACATTCAAAGACCCTTTGGAAAGAGTTCTTCATGTAACATTCTTAGTGGATCTATCTGGAATAAAGTAAGTTGTTCTTTTTAGCTCAAGGAATTTTGTTTTGATTGATTGCCCAATACTGAAGATCTTGAATATTAAAAGTCTGCAGAGAGGCTTTTGAATCTTTATAATGCATAAATATATCTTCAAGACAGGAAGATAAGCTACTTATAAACCTTTAGTCTTCATTCCTATGTAGTCAAAGTCTCTTTAACTCAGCTATTTTAGTTTTTTTACAGAGTAATTATTCTTTCACTTACCTTGTAACAGCTAACAGGTCAACAGGGTGTACACAAAAGATTTTAGGTAAATTAGTTCAACGAAGCTGAACAAATTAAGGCAATCAATCTCTTTTAGCGGAGGGAGTGTTTATTTTAAAAGAAGTGTATAATATTCTCTAGCTTGAGACATGTTTTCCAGTCCATTCTCCATTGGAACACAAAATAAGCCATAGAAAGGGGTTTTTTTTGTTTTTTTCTTTTTTTACATTTCTTCATTTACATTTGTAATGTACATTATTTCAATAGGCAAGTTTGGGGTGATTCTTCCTTTAAAATTTGAAATAGACAGCTTTTTAGTAATTTGCCACCAAGGAAAAAAAAAATCAATCATCACATCTTACCAAAGTTCATAAAGGTGAACAAAAGTGGTTTGCCCTGGTGCTTGGAAAAGTGTCAAGAGGCAAACTTTCTGATTTCTCGGCCACTACTAAGCAAAGTAGTTCCCCAGGCTCTGGTAGTTCCCCAAGGTGACAAATTAAGCTCTGACTCCAAATACCCATTACACAAATGTCTACTAGAAAAATAAACTGCAGATTCTGCATAACACTTTCCCCCAAGAAATCCAAAGTACTTCACTGTAGAACTGTTTAAAAGAAACGCATCTCCCATTTTAGAAAAACAATTACTATTACTCTGTGAAACCTTAAATCCCCTTTCTCATCAGACACTAAGTGGGTAGGAAACCGAGACTCGAGGCTTTCCCTGAGAGCAGAGATAAACTCTTGAGATGGTGAGAGACTCAAGTAGAGTTATGGACGGGAGAGGTTAGGGTGGAAACCTGAATCAATAAAGCAAATGGGGGGGGGGGGTCTCTAGGGATGGCAGGTGCCTTAAGAACTGAGCTCAGAGGAGACAGGGGATGGGGCGGGGCGATAAAAGAACGGGGAGCAAGGGCTCTTTAAGTTAGTGGGAGCCGGGTGGACGGATGGCCAGGCACCAGGGTCACTCCTGGCCAACTCCAACTATCTGCTTAACAGTTGCTCTCTCAGCTTTTGCTCTCTCCCATCACTTTGGGTAGGATTCTGAGGAACTTGGGAGTACGTAATGAAGTCAAGCAGTTACCAGGCCTGGGGGAAGCTGCAGGACTCCTCAATCTCCAGCAGCCACGCTATCTTCCCAATCTCCCCAAGCCCGACCCGCGTCTCACCCGCCGCCCAGCGCAGGCTGCGCAGGCTCCCCATGGCCGCCTACTCCGCCGACCGGACTGCGCCTCGCAGGCGGTGACAGCGCGCGGGCCCGTTCAGTGCCACCAAACTCCGCAACAGGAAAGGGGTGGGCGGTACTGGCGGACGGGACATGCGGGGCTGGAGGGAGGACCCAGCAGGCCGTGCGTGACGCGCGGGGCGTGTGGGCAGGGCTTGCGTGACGCACGGAGCGTGTGGGACGTGCGTGACGCGCGGAATGTGCGGGCTAAGCGCCCGGTTCTCCCTCAAGCGGTGCCGCCTCCGCGACGCGACTTTAAGAAAGCTTTTGTAAAGGAGTCTGGGTGTGAGAGGCCTTTGCATTATCATTCTCTGTGTCTGAGAAAGTATCCGTTTGAGATAGAAGAATGTGATCCCTGCAGAACTGTGAACTGTAGACTCCGAAATCACACTGCCTAGATAAACCCAGTATTTCAATACTGTTTTTCCAGCGTTTTCAATGAATATATTGCTTTTATCAAAAACATGCAATTAAAATTAAGCTCCTAGTGATCAATGGACACTATGTCTTAGTGACTGTGAGCGTATTTCTCAGTCTACGTGAGGAATTCACATGTATGCTTACTATTTCTTCAATTTGCCTATTTTTATAAAACCAAGCATTTCCACACCTGAACGCTTTATACAGCCCTTACCCCCACACTACCAGTAATGTTTTTTGTTTTGTTTTTTACCTTTATTTTTGAGAGAGAGTGAGGGAGGCTCTGATGCGGGGCCTGAGATGACCTGGGCCAAAATCGGATGCTCAACCCACTGAGCCACCCAGGATCCCACAGTAATGTCTTTTTTAGAAACGTCTCTTAGCAGTCCCAAATTCTTAACGAACAAAGGCCTTTGTGCTGAAGGGACAAGAGGTAAATAATGAAGTGGGAGGGTTAAGAAAAGCCTCACTTCTACTCTAGATTTCCTCTTCAAAAGATCAGGTTGGTGCCACCAAGGGGAAAAAAAAATGGGATTGGAGTAAAACTATCCCTTCAAGTTCTGATACTCTCCGATACCTCTAGGCCAGTTCCAGAGGCCGTGTTAAAAGGGGTGGGAACAAAAAGAAGGATACCACGGGTACAAGTTTCGGTGCAGACGAGCACCAGGGAAAAGACAAATCTTGCCTTAGGTTTCTCGCTTTCTTCGGAATAAATTTTGTTAGGCGGCGACGCGGACACCTTTGCTCCGTGGTGATTGGCTCCCGGCGGGGGCCTCGCGTTTGTCCAATATGGCGGCGCCCAGTGGCGGTGTGAACTGTGAGGAGTTCGCCGAGTTCCAGGTGATGGGGTTTTCCTCATGTGGCAGGTGTTACCCCCCAATTGTCCCCGGATCCTGTTCCCTGCTGTGGCCTGGGAGGGAGTGCGGATCAGTTGTGGAAGAAGCGGGCAGTTCAAGGCTCCTTTTCCCAGCCATTGGAGGTCATGGGGGCGCGGGCTTGGCCATAGCGAGGCAGCTCCGTGGGGGTCATGGTTCTCCTTGCGACGCCCAGGCCTTGAGTAACCGTCCCGGGAAACTTCGAGTGGTTCCGAGGTGGTAAAACCAAGCTTGGGCCGGGTGGTAGAGATTGTAACAACCTTTGAAGCCATCCCCTGAACTCAGTTCCTAGCCTCTGCCATCCCCCTCCTGCTTTAAGTTGACCACTCGTAGGAGAGAAGAAAGTGAAGGAGAACTTATTTACTTGACAAAACAAAATAAAAACTTGGTACAAGTCTTCCTGTTTTGATAGGGCAGAACGTTTGGAGTTCTTGAAGGGGCGATTAATTTTAGTACCTGCTGTGGTGCTTCTGCCTTCCTATCCATTAGAGGAAATGTAACACTTAAGGAAAATGTATTTTAGGACTAATACCGACCCATGAATTAAAGAAAGGGGTCTGGATTTTAACTAAGTTGCTATGAAAGTTATTTTAATGTAGGTATAAACGTGCTGATGTCTAGATAAAGAGTTGAACTCAAAAAATCATGACCTTACAAATGTATCTTTAAAGATAATGAAAAATAATTTCACGTATCACTGACCTGCCTGTAGGAAGTTTTGTTCTATGAGCCATTTTTGTAGGGAGTGGTATTCTTGCCTGCCTGTAGGAAGTTTTGTTCTATGAGCCATTTTGTAGGGAGTGGTATTCTTGAAGATAACCTCAACAGACTGAATTATTTGACAAACAGTTATTTGGCCAAAGAAGTTTATGTGGGGTCTTTCCACTTTTTTCATGCCCTCTTCACCACTTCAGCTCCTCCTCACAACTGATGAGCACAACAGCAGCCAACGTCAAATGTGATCAAAGTGCTGGACAAATACTGATACTTGTAAAAATCTTAAATAAGATAGAAAAAGGTCGTTAGATTATGAAGTATGTGGAATATTTAAGATTAACAGGTCTGTTTATGGCCTTGATCTTTCACATTAATTAGTACTATGAATTAATGAGCTCAGATAACTGAGCAATGATAGCCTTAGGTTTACTAGAATGAGCACTGGTTAGGGAGTTAGATGTTCTGGGTTCTAATACAGCTTCTGCCGTTAACAGTTTTTGGACCTTGAGCTAATTGCTTAACCACTTAGGAATTAATTTTTGAATCTGCAAAATAAGATTTTGTTAAGTGACATTTAAAACTGCTTCCATCTTTATAATTATTTGAATCTCTAAAACTAAATTTCTTTTTTTAAAATATAATTTATTAAGTTAGCAAATATACAGGGTATACAGTGTTTTCTTGGCTTCGGGACTAGATTTCTATGATTCATCGCTTATATACAACACCCAGTGTTCATCCCAACAAGTGCCCTCCTCAGTGCCCATCACCCATTTTCCCCTCTCCCTGCCTACCCCACCCCCATCAGCCCTCAGTTTATTCTCTGTATTTAAGAGTCTCTTATGGTTTGCCTTCCTCTCTGTTTGAAACTATTTTTTTCCCTTCCCTTCCCCCATGGTCTTCTGTTAAGTTTCTCATATGAGTGAATTCTACATATGAGTGAAAACATGTGATATCTGTCTTTCTCTGACTGACTTATTTCACTTAGCATTATACCCTCCAGTTCCATCCACATTGCTGTAAATGTCAGGATTCCATTCTTTCTCATTACCAAGTAGTATTCCATTGTATATATAAACCACATCTTCTTTATCCATTCATCAGTTGATGGACATTTGGGCTCTTTCCATAATTTGGCTATTGTTGATAATACTGCCATAAACATTGGGGTACATGTGCCCTATGAATCAGCACTGCTGTATTCTTTGGATACATTCCTAATAGTGCTGTTGCTGGGTCATAGGATAATTCTAATTCTAATTCCACACTGTTTTCCAGAGTGGCTACAGCAGTTTGCGTTCCTACCAACAATACAAGAGGGTTCCCCATTTCTCCATATCCTCACCAACATCTGCTGTTTCCTGAGTTGTTAATTTTAATGTTTATTTATTTTTGAGAGAGAGACAAAGTGTGAGTGGGGGAGGGGCAGAGAGAGAGGGAGACACAAAATCAGAAGCAGGCTCCAGGCTCTGAACTGACGCGGGACTCGAACTCATGAACCATGAGATCATGACCTGAGCCGAAGTTAGATGCTTTACTGACTGAGCCACCCAGGTGCTCCCTGAGTTGTTCATTTTAGCCACTCTGACTGGTGTGAAGTGGATCTCAATGTGGTTTTGATTTGCATTTGATTTGATTTGTGGTTTTGATGTGCGTGTTGGCCATCTGGATGTCTTTGGAAAAGTGTCTATTCATGTCTTCTGCACATTTCTTCACTGGATTGTTTTTCAGGTGTTGAGTTTGTTAAGTTCTTTATAGATTTTGGATACTAACCCTTTATCTGATATGTCATTTGCAAATAACTTCTCCCATTCTGTCTGTTGCCTTTTAGTTTTGTTGATTGTTTCCTTTGCAGTGCAGGAGCTTTATATCTTTATGAGGTCCCAGTAGTTCATTTTTGCTTTTATTTCCCTTGCTTTTGGAGACGTGTCGAACAAGTTGCTGCAGCTGAGGTCAAAGAGGTTGTTGCCTGTTTTCTCCTTTAGGGTTTTTATGGTTTCCTGTCTCACATTTAGGTCTTTCATTATTTTTATGTATGGTGTAAGAAAGTGGTCCAGTTTCATTTTTCTGCATGTTACTGTCCAGTTCTCCCAGCACCATTTTCTAAAGAGACTGTCATTTTTTCCATTGGATACTCCTTCTTGTTTTGTCAAAGACTAGTTGGCAAGACGTTTGTGGGTCCAATTCTCTGTTCTATTCCATTGGTCTATGTGTCTGTCTAAAACTAAATATCAAAGGTAGCTGTTAAAAGACCCAATAGTGCTTAGAAAACACCTTTATTTTTTCTTTTGGAAGGGCAGATAAGATGTAAGGGGAACAAAAGCTAAATTCTCTTGTAGAACCATTCCATTCACAGAAATAATGTAAATAAAAAGATCATAAAATGAATGTCATTAGTGAAACCTGGGGTAACTTTTTAAATAGTCTTTCTAGGGCTTTTCCAAATGTGTGGTTTATAATGGGGAATACCCTGGGTTAAAAGTCAGAAGATCTGATTTTCCAGAGCTGGCCTTGGCATATCACTTAACTTCATTGTAAATAAATATAAGAACATTTGCCACAACCCTCATAGGCACGCATGAACATAAGTGAAGGTAATGTAAAATGTAAAAATTTAGTATAACATTTAGGTTTAGATGAGTTAGGTAAAATTATAAGCTGTGGTTAGCTGGCACACTCACAAATTCTTAATCAAAGATAATATTTTTAAAGCTGTGAAACCATTATATTTTGTATAGAAGTACCCTAAATGTGAAAAGCACTGCACTGAGTACTGTGGAAGAGAAACAAGAAATCATGTATTTTTATTATAAAGATTTAGGTACTTTTTCCTTAAAATTTTATTATGAAAATGTTCAAATGCTACAGAAAAGTTGAAAGAATTTTACAGTGAATACTTATGTACATCTAGATTCTATAATCAGTGATTTGCTGTATTTACTCTATCACATACTCATCTCAATATACCCATCAATTCACCTCTTTATTTTTTTGATGCATGTCAGTGGCAGTTGCAAACATCCATATTCTTCACTCCTAAATGTGTCACTGTTCATATCATTAACTAGTATTCAATATTTGTTCACTTTCATTTTGTAAAATTTACATGCAGTGAAATGCACTGATGTTAAGCATACCAGTCTTTTGATATTTACATATACCTGTAGTACAAACTTCCATCAACATAGAGAATAATACCGTCACCTCCAAAAGTTTCTCATGCCCTTCCCAGTCAATCCCAGTCCGTACATCCCTCCTCCTCCCCTCTCACAGTGTACTGCTACTATCCTGATTTTTTCCATGTAGGTGCATGTTTTAAAGTTTTGAGTCTTTGAAGTATTTTGAGTTTTTGCAGTTCTTACTTTTCTATTATAAAAATTGGACTTAGCCCTCCTGAAAAATATACTGTTTCCAAAATGAAATAAAGTCCAGAAAAGAATGTTTAAAATTGAGTGTCTAGAACTCCATTTGAACACTCATTTAGCAAGAATTTATTGGATGTCGTATTAGTCTGCTAGGGCTCCCGTAACAAATTCCACAGACGGGGTGGCGTAAACAACAGAAATTAATTTTTTCACAGTTCTGGAGACTCAGAGTCCAAGATCAAAGTCCTGTTAGGGTTGTTTTCTGATTCATCATCTCTTCCTGGCTTGCATGTTGCAGCCTCATTGCTGTGTTCTCACATGGCCTCTTTGTGCTCAAAGAGAGAGAGATCTCTGGTGTCTCTTCCTTGTATAAGGATATAAGTTCTATAGGATTAGGGCCCCACGCTTATGACCTCATTTAACTTTACCTCCCTATAGACTCTGTCTCCAAATTCAGTGACACTGGGGATTAGGACTTCAACATATGAATTTGGTGTGGTGGAAGACACAATTCAGTGTATAACAGATACCTGTTAGGTACCAGGCACTTGGGGAGACTCAGTGTACAGAAATAAAACAAGGAACATAATGCAAGCAGGGATATAAAACATGTAGAAGATATTTAGAATATGAATAAAATGCTATAAAGTTCAGAGAGATCAAGAGATGGTAATTGAGTTGGGCCTTAGGCAGGACCAGGGGAATTCTAAGTAGAAGGAACAGTATATAGACAGAAAATTTTATGTATCTGGGGGAAATAGCCAATCATTATTGCTGGAATTCAGGATTTACACGGACACAGAATTATGAAAAAGATAGGAACCAGATTATGGAAGGGCTTGAATGCCAAGTGTGAGATTTGGGAGTCATTTTTGAACAGGGG